TACATACACATACACATATATAAACACACACACACACACACATAATTTATGTTTATTTGGCAAGCTGAATGCATTCTATATATATATTGTAAAGATGGGGGGGGGGTGAATGATTTCATTTTAAACAACATGCAAATGTGCGCGACTGGAGAGTTACTTCTAACTGTCATGTGCTTGGTGCATCATGTGTGACACTATTAAAGATGGAGTCTGCTTTTGCTTCGCGGATCTGTTGCTGCAGAAAAAGGAACATTACACTGGATGCCAACATTATCCGCACAAAATCTCAAAGGTTTTATGAATCTTTTGCTGACAGCGATGAATATTTGCGCCTTACAACATCTTAAGTTTCAATTTATGATACTGGACTTATTTTTCTACAAAAGATTGAATTGAATTTTGAGAGTGTTTAAACGTGAGAGAAAAGTGTGAACATGGTATTGCCTCACTGAGAAAAGTGTATAAAGTGTGTAGTGAGGGATTTTACAGCCTTTAAACATCTATAATAATTCATCACCTTTGAATTATAAGAATTTTTTAAACGTAAACAACTTATAAAAATAACATCCCATAATGTAAACAAGTTGTCATTTAATAAGAATATGTGAATAACTCAATTTTGACAAAAATGTCAGATAGAACCTTATAATTCCAAGGTGGCGAATTGTAAAAAATAACGCTGACTATTTCGCAGATATCACCCATTGGAGGTTATTTTTAGAACTTCACTCCAGTGAATAACGAGAGACCACTGTATGTAAAAATATGTTGGGTCACCATGAGCACCTCAGTATTATGTCAATGCACTTAACTGCTAGGCTACTGGCACCGACGCTTGAATAAATATTTTTTTTTAAAAATCCCTTCTTTCCCTCATTAAATAAAAAACACCAACCACATGAAATGCAATAGCACACTACAAAGTACTGTTAAATTCATGCCAAACTAATAGGTGGTGACATACTGTACCCTTAATCGTAAAGGCATGTCAGCCAATCAGAACACTGAAAAAACGTAGATAGCAGGGCTACTAAAAACATTTCATCATCCATGCAAAAGAGTTAACATTATCATCAATAATCTATCCTCACTTTACGTTGTAACATGTCTTTTCTTTCATTTTAAACATTGATTATTCCAGGTTCAAATGAGGACTAAAAAAAAATCTCAGACTTTCAGACCCCACTGTATTTTCCCCAAGTGGACTGTAACAAAGGTATTTCACATAATGCATTGGTGTGCAGACAGCTGATGACTTTTACCAGTAATGGTTGGGCATGGAGGTCTAGCTGTGCTCGGTAGAGGATGTCATCCAAAGCTTCTCTCCCCAGGTCCCACTGGCCATTATAACTGGAGCGAAGATGAGATCATTATTAACTATTCATCGGACTCAATTCTATTCAAAAACACAGTATTTTCTAATGCAAAATTAGCCCAGAACATTGAAATGGAGCTAATACACTTATGTTCTTGTGCTCACTAAGTCTGCATTAAAAATTTTTTTTTAAATGAAAATGTTGGAATATTATTACAATTTATAAATCAATGTGTTAATATATTAGAACATTTTATGAATTTCAGTGATGACAATGTTGAATTTTCAGTGTTTTTGTGTGCTGGGCACAGAATAACCGTGATTAAATCAGAACCAAAATAAAAGTTTGTTTCAACATAATTTATGCGCAATTAATTATACATATGCACGTGATACACAAGCATACATAGAAACCAAACTATACAAGACAATTTTGTCGTATAGATATTTCTATACATATATAACTTCTCATATACACATACATGTTCAATCTAAATATAAATAAACATTTTCTCAGATATATGCATGTACATGTGTATTTATATACGCACATAGTAAATATACTGAGTGATCACACTTAAATGATGTCAATACAAACTTTTATTTAGGATGTGATTAATTTTTCAGTTTTTTTTTTTATTATTTAATTCTAATAAATCATTTTAATATGCTGATTTAATGCTCATGAAATATTTCTTTTAAACATAATTGTTGCTGCTTATTAGTTAAAAAAAAATTTAGGGTGTGTTTATAAAGATAAACAGACAATTTCAATATTCAATTTTTTTTCTAACAAAATTATTAAAATGTGGAATTAGCTTTGATGTTATATTTCTGCAAACCGATCAAAGCGGTATATGTTTTTATGTTAGAAAAACTAAATCATACAAAAAGAGAAATAAAATAAGAGCACCTCTCCTCAAAACAATGTAAACAATCATTTTTGTCAAGTAGTGTGAAAAATAACAATGTAATTTAAGTGTAAATTATTTATCAGTGCATTCACCCAAAAATAAACACTGACTCGCCATTTGTTGACGCCAAGTGTTTCCAAATCTTTAATGAATTTAGTTTTTCCTGTTGAAGACAAATTAAAATATTTCTAGCAATGTTTGAAACTGGTAGGCGTTGACTTACAAAGTATTATTTCCCTACTAAGCATGTCAATGACTACCAGTTTACAACATTCTTCAAAATATCTTCCTTTGTGTTCAAAAATTCAAAGATGTTTGAAACATTCATTCATTCATTTTCCTTCAGCTTATTCCCTTATTTATCATGGGTCACCACAGAGGAATGAACCACCAACTATTCCAGCATATGTTTTACACAGCAGATGAGCTTCCAGCCGCAACCCAATGCTGGGAAACATCCATACATTCTCACATTTACACACACACACTCATACACCAGAGGGCAATTTAGTTAATCTGATTCCCTTATAGCACGTCTTTGGACTGTGGGGGGGAAACCGGAGCACCCGGAGGAAACCCACGCCAACACGAGGAGAACATGCAAACTCAACACAAAAATGCCAACTAGCCAAGCCAGGACTCAAACTGGCGACCTTCTTGTTGTGAGGCATCAGAGCTAACCACTGATCCACCGTGCCACCCATGTATGAAACAAGTGGAAGGAAAGTAAATGATGACAGAATGTTCATTTTTGGGCAGGGGCGTAGCGGGGGGGGGTTGGCGTTGATATGTCCCCCTCACTTTTAGAGACAGACCATTTAGAAACAAGTGAATAATAATTATTTAACGTAAACTTTTGGATCTCATACAGCTGTCCCCCCACTTTAACAATGTCTGCTATGCCCTTGTTTTTGGGTGAACTATCCCTTTAAGGATTCTTCTAAAATTATCCAACATCTACATCAAGTACTAAATCGTATTAAAATGGTATGTGACAAACAAAATAGCAATAATTTTACATGTATAATAGAAGGTAGAGTTCAGCAAACATACATGGCATAGTAAACGGCACTCAGCATCTGCACCATAAACTCTGGCTCCAACCGCACACGGTTACAAGGCTCCTTCCAGGACTTCATCTGCTGTCGTGGGTATCCGCTCACACACAGCCTAAAGCACAAAGACAGATTCTGAGAAAATCTCTAATGACATGTTTATTTGGAGGTCTTTATGCTAATGCCGTGACCCGACACAGAAATCCTTCGCTCTCTCTCTCTCTCGAAATCAATATTCCATTTAATCCATTTAATCATTCCATCTCTGCCCGTTCCAGCAAGAAGGTTCAGAGAAAGAGAGAGATACAGAGACAGCAATGTTAGTGGATCATTAGCAGAAAAGACATCTCACACATTCTCCATTTTTTAAGCCGATTAGAGGTCTGTTCTTCTTTTTTCCCCACATTAACAAGAGTTGTGGACATTAACTAACTACTATGAGGTAAATGTAACATGCTAAGTGATTCACAAATTTTTTTATTGACATCATTCTAGGTTAAAACACTGATACAGAGATGATCTCAGATGTGAAAGATTTCTATAAACATACTTTTAAGTGTTCATTTATGTTTTATCTTCCAATAACTGTAACACAATTACTTTTCCATTCACCTTCATATCATGAAATCTTACTATCACTGACACTGAAACTGGTTTAATGGCAGACAGCACAGGGCCCTCCTCCATTTATGTGCAAAATGTGATTGGATGTAAATTTTGTTCTTCAGAACATACTATGACATGACTACTATTTTATTAATTCATTTTCACATTAGTCTTCAATTCAGAGGTCACCACAGCAGAATGAACCACCAGCTATTGCAGCATATGTTTTAGACATCGGAAGCCCTTCCACCCTCAACCCAGTATTGGGAAACACCCGCGCGCGCGCGCGCACACACACACACACACACACACACACACACACACACACACACACACACACACACATACATACACACACACACACACACACACACACACACACACACACACACACACACACACACACACACACACACACACACACACACACACACACACACACACACACACACACACACACACACACACACACACACACACACACACACACACACACACACACACACACAATTTACTTTACTCAATTCACCTATCTCGCATGTCTTTAGAGTGTGAGAGAACTTGGAGCACCCAGAGGATGGCTACTATTTATTAGGCTATTTAGCATAACAGAATACTACAATTAGCACTCAGAAATGTCGTTTTTTTTTTAAAGAGTAGATAAATATG